GTGTGTGTGTGTGTGCATGTTTAAACTTTTTAAATATGACTGTGTTTGACACGTTTATTATTTTTTATACTTTTTTGCTATATGCCACCCAGAGTCACTTCTTGTGAGATGGGTGGCCATACAAATTTGATACATACATACATACATACATACATACAAATAAATAAATAAGAATTAAGTTACAAAGTGCCATTGATGTGAAGTTCTGTTAATGGGAAATATATAAAAAGATGCTTTATGGAATGAGAAAATAAAAAAGGTTGTTAAAATAAATGCAAATAAGAGAATAATTGCTGCAAACAATGATGAGAGAGAGGTATTGTATACTTACTATGTATGGAGAGAAAAAGCTGCAAAGTTGTAGTCAACGAGAGCAAGAAACAATTAAAAGAGATAGAGAAAATGCAGAATTGATTTTGATGGAAATACACAGTTGAAGTGGATGAAGAGGGCTAAACAAGAAGCTCTCTTCAGTGGAGCAGGAGAGCTGAATGAAGAAGCCCTGAAATTATTTGGGATCAAATTGAAGTGAGGGAACACTGGAAGGTGTATTTTAGAGATCTGTATAGGAATTACAGTGGTATGTCTAAGAGAAGTTAATGGTACGTTTAAAACAAATGAAGGCATAAATGCTGTAAGAGTTTTGAAAAGTGGTGAGGCTGCAGTGTTGGTGGTTTAAAAGGAGAGATATGGATTTTGTTTGCTTACAAAGTGGCTGTCCAACTTATGGAACAATATCTGCTGTTTGTACCTGCACCTGACAGTTGGGAGAATGTTTTTGCTATCCCCCTAGACAAAGGAAGGGAAATAAAGTGAGTGTAAAGTCTACAGGGACTTAGTTTCTTTAAGTATGCCTGGGAAGTATCTGGCATAGTTGTGATTGGAAGTATAGCTTCCACAATGACAAAAACAAAAACAAAAACACAATGTGTATTGTGATGTCACAGCACAAACCCCAGCCTTGTAGTGGATGCAAGGATGTAAATCATGATGCAGGTTTTGTCATTTGCCCCTTTCCGCTGCCCCCATAAAGCCTAAGATTGGAAGGACATGAAGAGGGACATTGAGCATAATTTGAGAAGTGCAGTGTCTAAGCAGATCAACTGTTCACTGAGAAATGTATACATGTGAAAAAGAAAGTTTTTTCCTTTTTTTTTTTTTTTTAAAAAAAGATGTATATGATAACAGGGTTGAATTATGGAATGCTTCACAAAAACATGGAGTTGAAGGTTGGATGCTGAATGGAATAAGAGCAGTATATGATGAAAGTGAGGCATGCATGAGAGTAAATGGAATACTTGGTAAATCGTTCAACACTGAACAGGGAATAAGAGAAAAATATGTGTGAAGTCCCCTTGGTTGTTTAATATATTAAAGGGCAAATACATTCAGAATGGTTGCAGTGACATTGGTCAGAGAAATGATTTTGCCTGTACTTGGCTGACAACCTAAATGATTTGCAGGAATAGATAGACTGCATGATGCAGTTTAGAGTATGGCCCTAAAAACTGAAGTCCAAGTTATTTTGTTTGATAGGGAAAATGGAATCAATTGCAAGTTATATGCAAAGGGCAAAAAAATGAGAGGAAGTTGATGAATTTCCATACTTCGATAGAACATTTATTAAAGATGGGAAAATGCAGATACTGATAGAAAGGTAAGGGGTAGTATGCGCTGCCTTGCAAAGAATGAATGTATGCTGAAAGAAGTGAAAAGAGCCATGTATTATAAGAACATGCTGCTGCCCATTTTATTTATTTGTTTGTTGGTTGGTTGGTTGGTTGGATTTCTCCCCCACAACAGGGGACTCTGGGCGACTTACAAAAAACATTAAAACTATAAATATATATAAAATACATAATACATCTAGAATTTTGCTATATGGAAGTGAGAGTTGGGCATGTCAGAGAAATAGGATTACTTAAGAAGCGTGTGCTGTAAAACAAGAAGAGATAGGAATAAGAATGGATGGGGGATGAGCAAATGGGGATTAAATAATCAAGTCAGTGACCAGAATGAAAGAAGTACATTGCTTATAAAGAGACTGCATGAGGATCAATTCACTTAACAAATATAGGAAGGAAGAGTGAAGGAGCTGAGAGGAAGGGGAGGATTGAGAAAGCTGGGGTTGGATAAAGTCGATGAGAATCCTCAGAAAGAGGTGAAAAGCTTACAGAGCAAAAGGCAATGCATAAAGTGGTGGATGGCTGCAGTAGAAAGAAAGGTATGGAGAAATATAATGGAGTGTTTGTGTAAACTAGATTTAGTGAGATTTCCTTCTCCCCCCACCCTTTCTCTCCTGACTCTCATTTCTTTTGCTTACCACTTTTTATTTTTTTTCTGAATGTTGCATAACTTTGTTTAACCTGAAAGGGAATGGTATGAATATATGTATGGTTCATAGGCTATCTCATAGGCTATAATTCTATCTGGGATCATCTCTGAATCTCATATTATGACAACATTACTAATTTTCCAAACTGTCATCAGGATTCACCTGTAAACCCAATTTACTCCCAAATCTTTTAGAAATAATCCCTTTTCTACGCTGTTCTTGTCTCCCCAGTTATTTTTGAAGCCCCTTTGCTGAGGATTTCCAACCCAGAGCTGCATTTAGCAATAGCAGGGTTTCTAGTCTCACAGTACCTCTTGGAGGAAGCAGAATAGCGGGAACAGGATTTGCCATCCCAGGCACAGTAGGGATCCCTAGCCAGGCAGCAGTCAGCACAGGCTTCTCCATACACATCACAGCGGTGAAGGGCCAGGTGTGTTAGCCCGATGGCTGAGGATACATAGAGCTGTTGCTGTTGGGGCATAGTAACATTCAGATATTGACAGAGCTACAGATTCTTCTGCTCCCACAATTCACTAGCGAATTTATTCACTGGGGATGGTGGTGATATAGATTTCCTTGAGAAAAGGTGGAGAGAAACACTGCTTTGCCCAGCTTACCCAGAGTTGCACCCCAATATAGTCAAGAACTTTTGGAGTAAACCCAAGGCAGTACAGGCACTCAAAGGAAATGGAAAGGTGCTAGAATTGAGGGAGGGGACACCTCCAAGTATCTTGACCTATTGCCAAGAAGACCACTAATTAGGGGAAAAAGCACACCTTTCTTCCAATGAACCATCTCTGAAGCTGATTTAGAAATTGTTTCAGGAAGACAACACTCACCCTTTTGGAAGAGATGGTCATAGTCTTGATTGGGGCTGGAACCTGTAGAGAAACCAAACAGTTAATCCGTGCATGGCTGGTCCCTGAAGTAATTTAGGGAGAGTAGACTGATTAATGTATTACAGTCGTGTGAAAAAGAAAGTACACCCTCTTTGAGTTCTATGGTTTTACGTATCAGGACATAATAAAAACCATCTGGTCCTTAG